CCCCCCCCCCCCCATATCGCCCCATTTAAGTACAGCACACGAGTGTATTATACCGCAACATTGTATCTTGTTCACCCAATTAGTGCAACGAAAATACATTTTTACAAACACCCATAAATCCATGATCTACTGTAGGGGAAAAATATATATATATCAACGGACCCCAATTTATCTATCGTACCACCCCACTCGCCAAATCCACTCACCTCTCTCTTTCCCAAAGCTAAATCCTCAAAATCTCCACCCTAGCCCTCTCCCAAACCCTATGGCCCAACTCCCCCCCCACCTCCTCCTCCCCACCCTTAACCTGAGGCGGCAAAACATGCATCTCGGCATACGACCCAGGCCCCATCCGCTTCGACAAGAACCCCGGATTCACGACAAGCACGCCGTCGACCACCCTTACCGAGCTGGCCAGCATGCTAGGCAATAAGAGCACATCCGGCACGGCGCCCACAAGGTCAGCCAGCCGCAGGTTTGGCACGTCCAGATTTGGTCCCGTCGCGCCACGGGGTAACTGCTCCTTCGAGGGGCCCGGGAAAAGGGGATAGAGGTTACGCTGGCAGATGAGGGCTTTTGAGATACGGGCGGTGGGATTGGTGTCTTGGGGGTTTCTGCGGGAAATTTTGTTATCGGCCTGTTTAGCTCCGAGAAGTGAGGGAAGAGGTAGGTAGGTAGGAGTGGGGGGCTGGAACCCGAAAAGAGGGGGGGGGGAAGAGAAAAGAAAAGAAAAGAGGTTGTCTTACCGATTGGTCTCTTGTGAGGTCATGTGGAACAGTATGTCATTCGTAGATATAGAGAAGAGAATCTCGTTAATCGAAAAAGTAGCCGGGTTTGGGAGACATTTTACGTTCTACAGGCCGGAGGGAGGTGTCCTATGTCAGTTCGGCCATCGGGGATCACTCGGGGATGTAACCTACTATTGGCAAATCCAATACCCGGCGCTTGAAATGTTCTTGGGGAAAGGACACGTGCTTGCTGATGATGTCTCGCACGCTTGGTACCAGAAGTACCAGGCTGCGCTGCACTCGCCTTACTTTGGGGGTGATTATTTCGCGGAATAGATCCTCCATCCCCCAACCACCGTCACGGCCCTGCATGTCAAAATCAAAGTCGCCAGTCCTTATAAGAGGGTGATCAACATCAATGAATGGCCCTGCTAGGATCAGAACATCAGGGCACGATTTGGCTGCTTTATCACATATCTCACTGAGAGCTTCGAAGTGTAAGTTGTCGTCCGTTGTGTATGGTCCTGAAGCAACGACAATGTTAAGACCTCCGGCGGATAAACGACCGGCAGTTTCTAGTAGCACATCGGGCGGGGATGCCCGACACGGTAACTTTGGGATGTCGAGTATTTCCCTGACAGCGAGATATTCACCGGAAGCATTGACACCCCTTACAGCGACAATTTGTCCAGGAAAAAACGAATAACTCGGCACCGCGTCCAACTTCAGTCGGATTCTCGAGCCAGCACCCATCTTTCGCGATGCTTCAAGCAGAACAGAAGACGGGGAAAGTCTCCCATCTAGAGTATCACAGGATATCCTTCCCACAGCTATAATCTCGGAGGGCGATGCTGTAGAAGGATTTCCGAACTGGCGGTCTGCCAGTTGGTGGTGTTCTCGTACCATCCCCATAAACTCATCAATCCGGTCATCCATAACCTCGGAGGCTTCAGAGAGTTTCTGGTGCATCGGCCTATAGGAGAATTTCTTCAGTTCAACCCCCAAGACAAGCTTAGCCCGACTATCCCATGACGCAAGTTCCGCGTCCACCGATGATTCAGGAAGTGGGAGGGAAGGCTTAGGGATATGCTCATTGAGCACTTCGACCGTGCTGCCCGCATTTTTTCGTTGTGCAAAAGGTGCAGAACTACAAAACAGCCCGTCAGCATGCACACCAGCAGACGAAGAATAGGGAAGGTATTACGGTATATGCTGCCCACCAATCTTATGTGGAGGACCCACCGGCGAAGACCCGACAGCTGCGCCCGGAGAATTCACATCCGAAAACCTGCCCGCCTTGCTCGACGGCGTTTCAAACGGCGCTTTTTCAAACTTCCGTTTGACACTCCCCTTCGCACCCTTTGGTGTCGTGGGTATTAACCCATCCAAGCTACCGCCAAAACAATGAATTAGCCCCCAAATCATCACCCCTCCCGTACACTCATAGGTAGAACAAACAATCCCACATGATCCCCCGTATTCTTCACCCTCGGCGTCCGGGCAACCGGTCTCGAGGTGTTCGCCCCGTGCAGCCGCGTTCTGGACTTCATCTCCTTTTCAAATAACTCCTGCACATCCTTCTTGAAGGCCAGCACAGTATCCAGGTTCAACTTTGTGTTCTCCGATCCCATCTTGATACAGTATGCTTCCCATTTGAAGAACAGCTCCTCATCACTGATCCCGTATATTCTGAGAATGCTCTCAAGTTCGCCGAGGACTTCGGGGGCGGGTTTGCCGAACTTTTCAGCGACGGCCTCAGATGTGGAAGAGTCCATCGCGAACGGCTCAATCGATAAGTATTCCGTGGATGGATGAAGGGCGATTGTGTGTGCGCGATGCGGTGATGTTTGTCCCTTGTGGGTTTTCCGGTGGTGCGAAGGGGGCAGGGGGGGGGACGTGACGCGGTGGTAAATCTCGAAAAGCGCGAGGACGCGTAAAGCACCCGAGCAACCATGATACAGTAGCCGCACTTGTAAATCTACCACAACCAATCACTATCATCATCATAGCTTGCCCTTTCCCTACCACTGTAGACCAACATGATACCACAGACTTTGGGGATAACTTACAGTATCATACCCGTGATTCACTCATTCGATATCATACAAAAATTAAACACTCGTTAAAACACACCATTTCCGAGGTGATGAGATCCCCACCCTCCGGGCAGCAAACCCATCAAGCGCAGCCCCGCCACACCACCCCTTAGACCGTCCCAAGCTTAGACTACCCGAGTAGAAAAGAGACCCTTCGAGTATGATACCGTGCCCACCATCAGTCACAACAGAGCACTCGCCCACCCAAACTCAGTTCCCAGAACCAATAACGACCCCGCCCTTTTCGGCGGCGATCGAGAATAACAGGTCGCTTAACGCATTATTATTACTCAACCCCCAAGGCAGCAAGGAACCGGAATCCGCTACAGCCCATTTTTCCAAATTTTTATCTTTTTTTCGGCATGATGGTGTATGTATTGGCTATGCTATTATAGCAGATGAGGCCTGGAACCCTAACCCGCACGCTTCTATTATAACCCCAAAGTTCTGACTCTTCGCCATAAAAAAAAGAGGTGGAAGGTTTGTCACGGATTATGCAAAGTGGTCTCGATATATCAAGTATCATACCGTACCGGCAAACTACCGTAGGGTCCAATGTGGAAGACCTGTGCGGTTGGGCATCTACCGGTATGATACATTGTGCCATGGAAATTGTGTGTGCGGCAACCCCTCCCCTCCCCTGCCACTAAGCTTCTAGCGACTCTCAAAAACAGCCGGTTTTTTTACACAGGATAGGGTAGCCGAAGGAAGGGGCTGGTTCCCATGGAGAGGCGTCTGTCTCCAGAGCCAAAAGGTATGATATGTCCCCGATTTCCAAGAACCGGTCGAAGGCAGTCAAGAGAGCTGCACCAGGGTTAGGGTTATGAGCGTCCCTCCCATATGATAGCACATGAACCAGGGAGCACTGTAAGCTTATCTATCGCACAGTGCCCTAATGCAGGAGGCCAGCCTAACTTACCCAAGGCGGGCACTGTCAGACAGTGCTTCTGACGGGTGTGGCCACTTATGTAAGTCCAGGAAGGGTGGGGAGGACCCTCTCCCTTCTCTTAGGCTGTATGATATCTGAGGTCAGCATCTGCACCCAGGGCGAAAGTATCATACGAGGCACGGTACGATAGGGGGGACTACGCCCCTCAGTTGAACAGTATTATACATGTGATGTTACCTGATTTCTACCCTTTGATGTAGCACTTGTGATGGTATGCCATTACACAAACATACGGTAGTTGGGGGGAATGTTGTGCGGTACCGATGCACGAGCATATGATCGTACTTGTACTCGTACTTGTGCTGCAGCATTGGTGGTGTCTTGCCTCTTCACCAGTCCCAAACTCCTGTAAGCCTCCGCCTCCAACCGTATTAGTGATCGCCTCCTCTGGTGTCGGATTCCACTGTTTTCGAGCGTGCAGACCGGCACCAAAGTAGGGTTGTAGATGTAAGGGGGAGGAGCGGGGAATAAGCCACGAGCCGCAAGAGCGGTTCGGATATTTGTAGCCTCCGAGGGGGGGGGGGGGGAAGGGGCTTGGTTAAGATATCGCAGGAGAGAGACATTGCATTCTCCAGTGCCGGCGCTTCATAACGCGTTGAATATGATATACAGTATAGCAATAAGACGGGAAACTCAAGAAGGGAACTCCCCTCGGTCACTTCCATATTGTACCGGTATCATCATAGCCGATCACTCATCCAACTTGAATTTCACTTTGGTGTGGGAGAAACCGACTGGCCTCAGTTTGTCCCACGGTTACCGTATCTGCTTTTTTTCTTTCTTTCTTTTTTCCTTCTTTCTTTTTTCCTTCAGGACGTGAGGTCTCTCGGAGCAACGCAGTCAGGATGTCTGCAGTCAAACATGCTTTTAGTTTGACACACCTGACACCCAGCTTAGCCCGGTCTTGGACGGTAATGACGTCTGGATGTGGTTAGGTGCGCGACAACCGCTCTGTGATCTGGTTGCCTTTCCTGGGTTGCAACAGGTGGGTTACTCTGGTACGGTATTCATACTGTGTGGACGGAGGTGATGAGATGGACAGGGGGGGGTCCTGAGTCCGGGAGCTGAATTGCCTTTTCGAAGTAAAATATTTTTAATTTGGTAGGCATGTTGCCGGAAAGGGCGAAAATTTTCGACACTTTGAACCCCTGTCCGTCTCATGACCTCCGTCCATACCCGAGTGTGATGCTGTACGAGAACTCGGGCGACTTGGGTGCTCTCGCTCGCTTTCGCAATGTCTTCTCCGGAAGAGAGGCACCGCGGCTGGGTCTTGGCGGCAACCGAAGTACGATTCCAAATATCGGCGGTCCAAATTATCTGGGGCAGGAGGAGACTTACCCACCAGCTTGAAGCCGTAGTAGCAAAATCACCCTATATTTCTTATAGCATACCTCCAAGGAACGACTAGCAATAGTGTGGTGGCCCACCAAAAAAAAAAAAAAAAAAACCTGTCTCCGGATCGGCGACATGAGCATCGTGCACTCTCTTCACCGGATGGCTACCAGGAACGAGGGAATGGACGGCGCCAGGACCACTCCAGAGGACGGTAATTCCGTTCAGAAGGGTCATGAACACCGGCTGCCGCCCCTTGCCTTCCTTTCTTCCTCTTGCCCCGTTTTTGTTCCAGGCCCCTGGGTGTCTCCATACCGTGGAGCCCGTGTCTTGGCCGTGATTCACCTCGATTCATGATAATACTTGTACTATCCTACCAAATAGAGTTTCGTAGCTGACCGGACAAATCAAACTGTGCTGTGTCCGAATAGGGCAAGTAGTCCACCATTTTCTAGAACCGATACCAGTTAGACCCACATGCCAAGCCTCCGACGCTCTCCGCAATCGGAAGCTTTCTAGCCGAAGCGTTGAGCCTGACACTAATCCAGCGGACCATGGATTGTCCCGAATGCCTCATTTCGTGCTTGACGGATTTCCCGTCCTCATATTTGACGGCAACCAACAAACCAGCAAACCATTTCCCCACTCTCTCTGTCTTCCTCCCTTCCCTATTATCACGGAAACCATCAATTCCGCCGTGGCTCCACCTGTCCTCCACTGCTCTTTCTTTTGCAGTCGACCAGAAGCTCGAAATCCGATCAAACACTGGACAAGGTAGCAGGTAGCCCTGAACCCGTAATACAATCGCTGCCCTATTCCCCATTCCGACGGGATGCCTTGCTGACACGCTCGCTTCGTTAGATTTTTGACCCGGAGCTGTAGCGAATAACTACAGTTGTTCCCTGCACATTCCTTCATTTCCCCCCTGGTTCATTGTTTGTACTGTTACGGAGATTCAACGCGCAACCCCGATAGCCACAATCATGACCGACGTTGCTACTGCTGTTCCTAGCGTTGTTCCCGAATCGGAGAAGCCCTCTTCTCCAACAATCACCCAAGTAGACCCCACACCTGCTGCATTATCGCCCGCGTCGGTGCACCCCGACCCCGCCATTATCGCACAGGAGCAACAGACCGGAAAGAAATTCGGCTTGTTCACCGAGGCGCTCCCCGAATCGAAGCCCGAACCAGAGGTTCCCCTGAAGCCGGATCAACAGGAGAAATATGCGGGAATCCTCGCTTGGGCGCAAGCCCTCGGTCCAATTCCTGTATCGTCTGAGAAGGGAGCTGCTGCCAGGGAGATGGATGATGAAGAGAAGATGTGGTTGACCAGGGAGTGCTTCTTGCGCTATCTGCGTGCCACAAAGTGGAATACCGCCGACGTGAAGAGGCGTTTGGAGGCCACCCTTGTCTGGAGGCGGGAGTACGGGGTTCTCGATCACACGCCCGAGTACATTGAGATTGAGAACCAGACCGGCAAGCAGTACGTTCTTGGCTTTGATAGGAATGGACGCCCATGCCTCTATCTTAATCCCGCTAAGCAGAATACCGAGAAGGGTCCGAGGCAGATTCAACATTTGGTATTTATGCTTGAGAGAGTGGTAGACCTAATGGGGCCTGGACAGGATACCTTGGCATTGCTGGTGGATTTTGCAGCCTCGACTACTAGTAGTAATCCGAGCATTGCTCAAAGCCGGCAGGTATTGAACATCCTCCAAGGACATTATCCCGAGAGGCTGGGGAGATCATTGGTTACCAATCGTGAGTCATCTTTGCTATTATAATAGGTTACGATTCCACTTTTGACTGATGGGTATTCAATTTCAGTTCCGTGGTTTGTTCATGGCTTCTTTAAGATCATAAATCCGTTTATAGACCCCCTGGTGATATCTCCTTGCTGCATTTCACATCGCCCAAGTGCTGACATCCCTCCATAGACCCGAGCCAAGCTCAAGTTCAACGAAGACATGACTCTGCATGTTCCCGCCGGTCAACTTGACAAGAAGTTTGGCGGAGAGTGCGACTTCGAGTACGACCATTCAATCTGGTGGCCCGAGTTCATTCGCATCACTGGGGAACGCAGAGCACTCTATACCGCCCGATGGAAGGAGCTGGGCTCCAAGATTGGGGCAAGCGAGTTGGAACTCAAGGGTGGTAGTTTGCAGGATCCAATCGCAGAGGCCTCTGCGGCGGTCGAGAAGCTGGAGGTGAATTAGACTCCGAATTTGTTTTACTATAGAGTTGGATATGATGGTCTTTTACTCCTTAGCAATTCCCTGGCACTTTGCACTTTTCCCCTCTTCCCCACAGTATGATACCTAACTGTCAAACCATTGTTTGGGAGGCGAATGCTGTGTGCTATAAATTACGGATTGTAATATTTTTTTTTCTTCACATTTTTCGGAGCCGCGTTCGTTCGTTCGTGATCGGTTGATAAAAAAACGTGTTTACTTGTGTATTTAGATGAGAAAAAAAAAAATAGTGTTATTACACCATGCCTGTTGGCGATTCACTGCTGTTTTGCGGGAAGTTGCCAGTTGTGATATCATGATACCGGTAATAAGTAACCGCCTCACCACTACCACTACCACCACCACCGCCACAATCGGCGTCAATAAACCTTTGCACAGGAGTAGTGAAAACAGCATTGACCGGGAAGAGAGAAAGGGGGGCAGAGAGGGGGAAAAGCCATGATATCGTACAAGCCTCCCCCCCCCCCACCGAAATCTGATCCGACTCAAGTAGGAAAGTAGGATACCTGTACCGAGAAAGTGAGTGAGATGAATCATATGGGTTTCGCAACCTTTCTCTCCTCCACAATGCCGGTGCGCGCGCACGCCATCTGCCTCCAATTAATGGGGTGCAGAGGATCTCCCGCATCTGTGACACAATTCCCCACCCCCCCACCATCCCATATTAGCCCCTCTCCCCACTCCAGCGGAAACCCACCCACCCAATGGCGAAAAAGAAGGAAGGAGAGCATATCATACCAGAATGCGCAACAATAACCCCTAGAGAATTACTAGCGGTGGAAAGATAATAATTCGACTGATCCCCCAAAGATATCTACACCATCCACGAATCCGCGACACAAATTAGCTTTTGCACAACTTCCCGTCCACCCGCCCGCCAGCGAATGAAAAAAACAAAACATGAGGAAAACGGAGAAACGGAGAAGAAAGGAAGGAAGGAAGAACAAAACCACAACAGCCCTAACCACGTCCCCGACCCTGAAGCAGTCCAGAATCTTGACACGATCCCTCTCGGTGGCGCGAACGTCCTGCGCGCGTATGAGGCCCTGGAAGGTGTGCTCGCAGACCCCCATTTCGGCGCCCGCGTGGTTGGCCTGCAGCGCGAATATCTCCACCGTGGCCTGGCGCGGGTTCAGCCTCGTCACGCGTGCCAGCACTGCGCTCGCCACTTCCGGTAGGAGGAGCGGGTTCGGGTTCGGGTTCGGGTTCGGGTGCGAGTGCGGGTGCGAGGCCGTCGGGCGGGTCACGCTGATGCTCATGTCCGTGTGCGCGCGTGGGATCCCGGCTATCGAGGCGGTGATGGTCGATGTGGAGTTTTGCGTGTGGGTGCCGGTGCCGGCGGTGTACGGGGGGGATTGCGCTAGGGGTTGGCCTGGGAGGGCGAGTGGTGGGAGGAGGGGGGGGTCCTGGGACATGGTTGGTGGATGGTTGGTGGGAGATGGGGGTTGATGGGGTGGGATGGTTGATGCTCTTATGACAATATTAGTTGTGGAGTGGGATGGTGGTTCTTTTTTTTTTGGATGGTGGGCTGTTTTTGGAAGGGTGAACCCCTGTGTCGATCGCATGGCGTTTCCCCGTATGAATGGCTACAGGCACAGTAACTCGAGTTATCTATCCCTCTCATCTTCGCTCACTCATTCTCTGTGCAACCGATTGCTACTCTACTCGTAGTGACTTGAAAAGAGCTCCTTGGTTGGTTTCCATTCGGACCCCTCCCCCGCTTGCACTTACAATACATATTCCAAATAAAAAGTGGAAGGGACAGAAAAGAAAATAGAATAAAATTTAACAAAAACAGGCAATCTAGTCTGTACTGATATACTCTTTTCTTCTTTTTGCACTCGAGTATTTTTTTAAAAAAAGGAACCAAATAGATGGGAGAAATTAAATGATAGTGATAAAACCAAACACTTATCATACGCGAGAACAGATGGGGAGAGATAGATAAATAAACAGAGAGCTAAAAGGGCTGGAGAAAGAGTGGTAGTAGTAGAATGTAGTCAGAATGTAATGTATAGTATTATACTCGGTACGCCGGACGGATAATCCGGTGTCCCTATGCCGCTGTGATAACTTGGCCCAGCTAGGCCGGCCAGATCAGCCGGGCCAACAAAAGATGTGATCCGTAATAATACACAAACAGAATAGAACACCCCCAACTGCCCCCTTTAGTCCCATCCCCCTTGTCCATCCGGTTGGGTGATGCGAAAGGGTAAATAAAAGTGTAGATATAAAAGAAGATAGAGAAAGTATCGTGCCAAGTAATATCGCGCGCACGAATCAAAGAAAAGGACGAGAAAGAGAGAGGAATATAAACAAGGTTGCCCCTAAAGGCAAGCCACTCCCTGGTGCGATGCCCAATAATAATAATAAAAAAAGTTATAGAGAAGGGTAAAAGTTGGAAATTACGGACGAAAAAAACCCTGCCGCCCCCCACCTCGCTATGAAGGTAATATGAAGAGAGAATATATGACAACAACGGAAATGTGGAAATGTGAAAAGAATTCCGATGTGATGACTGGCTCTGACAAAGAGAAATACGAGTGCATGATAGAACATCCACAGGGCGTTGTGGCAACTGACCATTTGTTTATAAACGATGGTTGGAAAAAAGGCGATATCTGGAGAACCAAATTATGTAAAATAGTTACCAGAGGCCAAGTCTGAGCCGGTCCTATAACGAGAACAGAAGCAAGAAACAAAAATGGGTTCTAAACGGCGCAGCAACGGATTGCTGGTCTCCAAGTTAGTGTCAACAGCAGATCGCGATTTGTAGGAACATACCTCCTAAGATCTCCTTCTGCTCACTGCTGTTTTGGCAAGCGCACTGGAGTGTCCCGCCCTCCTTTAGGAAGAGTCTAACACTGTGAGGGAGCTCTTGCTCATCCACATTCGGCAGGTCGACTGTACGGATCTCACTGGGCATGTGATATTTTCTAGTTTGAGGTGAATTCTATGAAGTGTTAGGAGGAGGCACCATGGAACTGAGGATAGAAACATACCTCGTCATCCGTCGGAGAGAGGAAAAGCCATCCATCGGAATATATTTTCACACACCGTCGTCTCCACAGCTAATTAGCGGTAACAAATTAGCTCTCCATTCTAGCTAAAAGTATCTATAAGGAAACATACCATCGTATCAGGTAACTGAACGTTGATCCACCCAGCCAAGAGACAAGTCTTGCGAGCTAATTTAGCTGGCACAGTAACTGGTGCCGGGGCTGGCGTCGGTGCGGTAGCCGATATGACTTCAGCAGCCACCTCCTTGGTCTTCTTAGACAGAGATGAGCTCATCCTCCTCAAAAACCCACTCGACGGTTTGGGCGATTTAGGAGTAGTTGGGGACTTATTAGGTCGGTGACTGGATCCTAAAGAGCCAGAGGAACCCCGTCGACTCTTCGCACCTTTGCTCTTCTTGCTAGAGGTAGAGCTAGGGCGGCCTTCTGGCAAATTCTTCAAGTCCTTTGAGCTCGGAGATCTTGATGGAGTGGGCCTGTCAACGCTCGGCCGGCGAGAAGAGTTTTGTGAATGTATAAATACAATATCAATGCTGCTTCGACGTGATGGGCTGGGGGCCAGAAACGGCGAAGAGTGATCCTGTTCCTTAGGACTATTGCGAGGACTATCCACCACTTTCCCCGGGTTAGATGAGGAGAGTGCGACAGGACTCTCATCTCTAGTGATGGTTGTCGTAACCTGTAGCTCTGGCCGGTTGTTTCGTTCAATGATCTCTATCTTGGGTGGAGGGTGTAGCTTTAGTGGAATAGGAGGTGCGGCATCCTGAGGGGGGGATTCGGGAACAGGTGGCGCTTGAATCCTAGTAGGCGAAATATATGAGGTGGGCGCACGATATTGAGGAGCGGGGTTTGAAAATGCGCGGACGGGAGGGTTGCTGTGTACACTAGACGGGCGTGGCGGAAAATTTGGAGTGGGGGAAGTATTTCGAGTCCTTGGAGGAGAGACTGGGGGAGTCGCAGTTGCAGCCTCGCTCACCGACAGCATTTCTAGCTGTCGAATTCGCTGGAGGACGCTTCCGCCACCACCGACATTGACCTTGCGCACTACGGCAGGCTTGGTTGTTTCACGCGCGCTCTTGAGAAACGGAGCAGAGACAGATCTAGCAGTCTCAATGATAGGAATTTCTGTGGGAGGTACCCGCTCGGGTTGAGGCCGCTCGGCTCTCTTGAGGACCCTAGGAACGGTTTGGCTCGGAGCCACCACCGGGGAAGTGGGTTTGGGTGTTGGCTGGGTGGTGTGGTAGATACTCTTGACGACATTCGGAAGGGGCTGTTGTACGGGTTTCACAGAGATTGACCTCGATTCTGCTATAGACACTTCCACCGACTGGTCAGAATCTGTTTCGGCATCGGACTCGGGTTCTCCTCGGACTTTCGTACTCTCGGCTTGCTGCTCTTCAGCCACCGGTGTTGCCCCTTCAGACAAGTGAGTGTGGTGATGTTCCGTGTTTTCGGCTTCTGTTGGTCCGGATCCCTGTTCCTCTGCCCCCGTGTCAATGTCAATTCCCCCCGGATCAGTGCCGGCGTCTGACTTCTCCTCGGGATCCTGAATTGATTCTTGTGAAGACTCAACAGGTTCTGGTTCAGTTGTTGATTCACTGGAAGCGGTGTCCTCCTCGAACTCGCTTTCGATGGATTTCGCTTCGTCCTTTTCCTTGACATTTACTATTGAATCTTCCAGTGGTGCGTCATCGGGTTTGACTTGTTCTTTCACTTCGGGTACCATTGTTTGTCTGCGGAGTTGCAACGCTCTCATCAACCGCTGTTTTTCGGGGCTCAGAACGGGTGGACCCTCGGGCCGTGGCGGTGACGGAGGCGGAAGGGTTGTTGCTAGGGGTGGTGCTACTGGAGACGGGAGATGTTGCGGGATGACTGGGGCTGGTGAAATGGGAATGTATTTCGCGGATTCGGAGCTCAATGGCTTGGTTCTGACTGACGAGGCGCTAGACTTTCTTGGTGCGATTTGAACGGATTTCGGTACTGACGCTACCGGCCGGACTTCCTCCCCTGGGCCAGAAAAAGTCTTCGATCTCTCACTGGAAGTATGGGGCCTTTTCTGCGACTCAATGTGTGGGCGAGGGCCGAGTCTAACTTTTGGCGTGTACGGATACCCATAAAAATCGGTAGGAGAGGGTCTTATCGAGTTGGTTGACTTTCGTCTGAGCTCTTCGCCGCCAGGGAAGGTAGGGGGTCGCAGAGAAATGAAACGGTCTCCGTCCTCGTCAAGAAACACGGGTGATCCACGGCCCCCGTCCGGTGAATTAGGACCATGAGTTGTTATGACCACGGCTAACCCTTGATCGCTGTCCCCCTTCTCATCCGTCTTCTCTGATGGTGCCAGTGACCCGGGGCTGCTTGCTGCTTTTAATGGTTCCCCCTCGTCGGCGGATTCGGCTATGTCAGTTAATCGACGTTGCCGGACAGAGCTATTGGAGGAGGAAATGGAGGTAGTGGCGGTATGGGTAGAACATGCTGAGGTCAGTGCATTGTCACGAAGCTCCTTGGGACAAGTAATTGTAATTTCAGTGTCGTGCGGGTTGAACCGTTCCACAATAGATTGGAAGTGCACTGTCGATCGAGCTGTGCGGCCAAATCAAAATTATTGATACCGAGATCAACACGCCATTACTTGGGACAAAACTCACCCCTTAGCACCCTTGATGTTTCTTCGGGAATGTACTTGATTAAAAGATTTCTCCGTCTGAACCGTATGAAGCCGTACAGTGGCGAATTGTCAGGTTCCTTTGAAGCAGCTGCTCTCATCCCCTCCGACCCGTTGCTCCCACGACATAGGAATTCGACATCATCCCGCGAAGCGTATTTGATCCAGAACCTACCAGAGGGAGGACTTGTGTGAGTAAAGCATGCAGAGTCAAAGAAATCCAAAGCCGCTCCTAACCAACATATAGCGGATCTAGACAGGTGAAAAAGAACAAACGTACCATCCGCCGGGCTCAGCACATGCCTTCTCAAAAGCCTCTGTTAGTTGTGGGGAGTCTAGTCCATTCAGCGACATGATCTCGCCTTGTATGGCGGCGCGAAAGCGAAGAAGGGTAGGAGGAAATTTCCGAGCAAAGTATCGCAGTAGGCGTCGTTATCGTTTTATTTTACGCTCGTAGCAATATCGCAATGAACCATGCCCTCCGGGGCGGCCAGATTAGATTTTCTCAGGGGTAGGGGGGGCTTGGTCCGGCTGGGGAGAGACGAAATAATAGATGGAAGGGAAGCTCGGCAAACGGAACAAGAAGGTAAAGTTTCGATTATATTGAAATTTTCACCAGGAAAGCCACAATGAAAGGAAGGATAGAAGAAGGCGTGGAAGCCGAGCCGTAGAGATTTTTTTCTTTCATTCGGACAAAGCAATCCTTAGCTTCAATTGGCGTGCAGGATCTAGCACCTTTTTAGGGGAACGAATCAGGAGGGGCGGGGGTTGATGGAGGTGAGTGAGAATAGTCTGAATGGGAGACACGGGAACAGAGAGGCTCTGGACACTTTCTTGTTAGAATCTCTATTGTGTAGGTTTGCACCAGTATCCAGCACTGTATCAGTACGTACTCGTGCAGTTATGGCGAGAGGCGACGATCGCCCGTCTGTTAAAGAGCAACACAGTGCAGGAAGTGAGTACAGCACATGTAAAAGTAATGGAAGAAGAAAAGACATGAACAGTACGAGTAAAGCGCGAACGAACCATATCATTTTCTAACGGAAAAATGGAGTAGAAGAAGAAGTACGGTAGACTTTTCGGGGGTCTCTGTTTCTTTCTTTTTCTTTCCTTTCTTTTTTTCCTTTCCCCTTTCCCATTATCCTCACCCGCATACCGGTAATGGAATCCCTATTCCGAAGGGCTGGGAATTTGGGAAGGCAGGAAGGCACAGGGACAGACAATCTGGGGGGTGGGGAACATCTTCCCCTTCTGTCTCCTCCGGATGGTTGGATGGTAGAGGGGAAGCCCCCTCGAGGAAGACCTTTTGGCAAAGGTGCACAGATGCACAGATGTAGAGATGCAGTGGGGGTAAGATTCTCGGCCACGGTACCGTATCGTACTGTACGGTACTCGAGTACGAGTAATAGGGGCACCGTTGTTCCCCTCCCCATTTTTCTTGTGCACCCACAGAATGCCGGTGGTGTGCTAGTACAAATACTCATTTCCTACCATCTTTTTCTTCACTTTCTGATCCCCACCCAATCGCGTTCCGAGCTGCATCTCAATTCCAAGGTCGCTTCGCCCCGTAACCCGGGAAGCTCATCCCTAAAGTGCGAGCTCCACGTTAGGCGATTGGTGCGAGGCAATTTTCCCATACAGGGGCTGGGATTGTGATTGCAGCTGCGAGGGACGCGTTTGACCTCCTAGATTCCCGTTTGGCGGCTGTCTTCGCCAACCCTTGGCGCCTATATGCAGGGAGTGTCCGCTCCGTTCCTTCACTTGCCTGCTATCATAAAAGGGAGCCAAAGTGATCAAGAGGGAAAAGCAAAAACAAGGGGTATCGGTACCGTAGCGGAGAGGAGGAAGGATGAAATGAGAAAGTGCTGTTTTGTTGAATCCCTGGTTTGCAAAGATCAGAATCTGGGAAGACTCCGCAGAACGCAATGATCCAATCAGCGGGATGGCCTCTGTGGCGCGAACCGATTGCCCTGCCGGTAGTCCACCGGTTTACCGTACTGTACGAGTACCCGAGCATCATACTACAAGTACTATTCGAGTGCTCATACGGTACTTGTAGTGCTTGTATCGCCCCCCCCTGAAAACTCCTCATCCAACCAATCAGAAACCTACAGCCAACGATGCCTGCCCTCTGATTCGTGCAGATGGTTGGGGCCGATCCTCATCGGGGGGTATCATGATTACCCGCACCCGGTAGCAAACTCTGTCCTTCCGGCCAACTTGCGGAAATGATAACGGCGCGGTTACGGTACCGCATATTACCGGTAAATTTATTGTTGTTGTTGAGAATATTCGCATCTAGACACCTGCTCGGGCGATAGGGTTGGCAGTATGGTAGTCTAAGGATTGAACGGACATACCGGTACCGGAGTTTAGGCTTATTGATTATTCTCCAAGCTTGCGCTTTCTTCTCCAGAGCCGAGGGAGATTCTTCTCCTATATAGGCACTTTTATCGTTACACAGGGATCACGCTTCGTAACGGGGGAATTTATATGACGCGCTGGTGCAGGTAGCCGAGTTGTTCCTAAATTTACACATGAACTATAAGAGGGGGAATTATGTATTTTAGCAATTACCTGTACGGTATTCACTGTCCGCATATCCTTAGGGTTTGAGTTGCGATAGCGAGCATCTGTAAGACTCCGTTCCATGACGGCATCTTCATTCCTTATCTTGTACTAGAGGCACTTCCTGAGGAGCGGAGTTGTTTAAGAATCCCTCGTGGCTTGACGTGGTGCTATTGGAACGGCGTGGGTGCGTACGGTATGGAGAATTCTCCCTACCCTACCGGTATCTCGGCCTGCTGTGAGCGATTCGAAGCACCGTTGGAAACTAGGAGGTTAGGACTCGGCCCATGAGGAGTGTCTTAGGCTTGGGTTACGGCACTACCGTATACTCGTGCGAGTGCTTCAGATCACGGGTGATCAGGCAGTCACACGAATCCGATCACCGAAAAGTGATACCGTAGTACAGGTAACTCGGCACAGTGCCGGAACGTCCAGAATTCCCCACTTTGGATTGAGGGGTGAAAACACGGCGGAAGGGGTCCTCTCTCACCCCTCAGTTGGGACGGGTAAAAAGAAGGATTTCAACACACCTTGCCGAGAGAGGCAACTCCAACGTCCTGGCGAGTTTCTACTCGTACTGTACCTGAACCACTTTGTTCACATACACTACCACAATTTGTGTCGGCTATAAGTTGTATCATAATTATTCTAGAATTATTAGGAAACATTATGCACTAGATGGAGGATTGAAAAACCGAGTAACTTACTTGAATTCATGGAAACCCCTGCCGGGCTGACAGACGAGGGGGATCCCCTACTCTACTTCTCGCCTCCACTCGGGGCTCGGCTAGCTTAACTAGCAGGGAAGGGTACAACACAGCGTAGCAGCGGAAGCAGGAACCAAACCAAAAGATACAGGCTCAATCTAAACTCACAAGCTGTCGCACCTCATCTTCTAACCTTTTGGGTGTCTTTTTTTCGTTTCTCCTGCCCGAGGGTGAAAAAGCCTTAGGCGCAGGGACTTCAGACACTCGTATCACAGCACTCAATACACGTGCAGAAATCGTGGGGAAGCCGGCCGCCGGATATCAACTTTTCCAACTCTCCCCCCGAGCCCCCACTCCCTCCGCCCCCACCCGCGGTGCGGGTTTCTCGTTTATATTCCCCAGTTAAATGATGAACTGCTGCACTGCCTTTATTGCGTTGGAACGCGGGCAGCTGGAGCATTTCTCCCACTCCCCGGAAAAGCGTTGTAGCCCACCCACCCCGCCAACCCACATACATCCATAATTAGACCGCACCTACTCAATCACCCACTCACCCACAACCTAGCTACTCATGGGAAGTACTCTCTTTTAAAGTCCCTCTTCGGAACTTACATCTTTTTCTTCTCCTTTCGTTTTCCCTTTCCCCATTCCTCTACATAACAACCTGTTTTCAACCCCGCTCGAATCTGCCTTCAATGATTGGAAACTTTAGTTGTCGTCGTCTTCGTTAAGCCACCCAGATAATCCTATATCATCACCCCAGATTCCGGTTCCGACTCTCTGTTCACTTGCTTGTTCGAAGATCTTGAACTTCCTTTTTCCTTGACCAGTTGCCTCATCTTGCTCGGCACTGCGGTGCTCGTACCCCACCCTGGCCCCCTCTCTGTCTCTCTCTTATTTGCAATGGTCAATAATACGGCTCCGAATAGCACCTGGGATGGATAGCGCGCAACGTCTTCTCTATTCGTCCTTGCTTGCTAATCTAGTGGTAAGGACAGAAGTATATATCAAAAACAAAACCAAGCTCTGATCCTTCTATCGATCACCACACATCTCCGCTTTCCTTCTTCTTTGGCGTTCCGGGAGAAGGAAACATTCTGAGTGATCTCTGAACAAAAGAAACACTCCACAAAGACTCCGGCTTTCCTCCGTCTTTGACCTCAATGTCATACCCTTGTTCTGCCTTCATTCCCATAGCCTTGATACTTTCCTTTGACTATCCATGCTTCTGTTCATCCATCAAAAGGAAATACCTTTCCATACATCTGCCAAAGGAAATATCTTTCCCAACATCCGCGCTTTCATGTAACAAAAGAAACTCTCGCATGCCGAGCAGAATTGCCTGATTTCTAACATCCCTCACTTCCCTTAACTTTACACGAGACTGACTAGAGCAAGAAGAAAGTGGCCCGAAGGTGAACATGCTCTCCTTCGTGACACTATTGAAGGGCACGAATCCCGCTATCTTTACTCAGGGTTTTTGGGGGGGGGGGGGGTTTGAGAATAGCTACTGATAATCATCGATAGGTGGGGATGGAGCTTGCGACTAGCGTCTCATTGCCCCTTGTATTCTCGGACCTACAAACAAATATTGCAGAAAGAGGTGGCACTATAAAGTAGCTGCCACGGTAAATCAAGGGCCCTGGGAAGTTGCGGAGGACGAAAGGTTATGGGCTGCTGTTTAACAACATGGAAGCCGGTATGTATTTATTCTCTGTGCCTTCACATGTGGTCGTGATTTCATGAAATAAGAAGCCAAAGCATGATAAAACTGACGATGAGCAGTTGGGCGCTAGTAGCACACTGGCAAGTAATTAACAGTAACCTCTTTTTCACGTTCAAGCTAACTTTGACTCGGTGGCGCTAGCTATGATTTAAACTAACGTGCGTCTTACCAATACGGAAGGTTCTCAAAACCAGAAATGGTGATCATGAGTCTATCCATTCATCCTCAGTTCCCAGTTCTCCGGGCTCTTCTTCATGTTTGCGCCCTCCCTGATCTCACCATTAAGGGTTTCAAAATTTTCCCCTCTTCGAATTCATTTGAATCGAGAGAGTGTGCCAAGCGTTGGTACGATGCATTGGACCCAAGTACCGATCCGATCATAGTCCATGGACTCCAGATGAGGTATGTCTATTCGGCCCAAATGCGGACCCCACTAAGGCTGTGGGGAAAGTTATATCCAAAGATCTCTGACATATGTTCTGGATGACTAGGTTGTTCGACTGTTAGAAGCTAATGAGAAACATGGGAGAAACTGGAAGTCAATCGTTAAAGCTTACTTTCCTCGCCGGACGAGTCTGTCGGCGAAAAACAGGTACACTTCCGAAACCCCCGAGTGGCCTCGAGAAAATTTCTCCTTCCTTGGGTTTTCCTTCTGTCCCTTTACGCAAATAAGCTCCTACAGAGAGATTTGTATTTAAGAAAATTTATGTTGACTTGTACAGTATATATGATGTACATGTAGCGTTAAGGGCCAATAGCCCAACTATCAATTTCATGAAAAATACAGGTACTCGCTACTGATCAGGAAGACGGAATCCAAGAACATGCACTCTCAAACCAGAGAGTCCAAGAAGGCAAATCAAAAATCCCCCCCAAAAAACCCCAATCCCAAGTGGACATGCTGGAAGCTAGCAAGATACCTGTTTCCTAGTTTCGCCAGGAGGCAGCAAATATGGGGATGAAGCGGAAGCATGAACTCTCGTGATCGTATGCATACGGAAACTCTCCATCTGGGGGGGCTGGAGGCTTACTAAACGTCCTCTTCGAGCCCACTTGTAAACCCGCGAATGCCAATAACTGTGATAGCGGCAGGAACACCAATTCCAGCAACCTAAAGCAGGATCAGCAGTCGCAACAAGCGGCTGCGTTTGAAAGTCCCTTGTTGAGCCAGAAGGGTACGTCGGGCATCTCGAGTTATACACCCCCGTCTTCCCACTACCTGGCACTTTCGCCTGCGCACTGTTCGGATCTGATCACGAATGGTAATGCCGGATCAGAAGCTAGTTTCCCTGTTGCCACTGCTACGGGCAGGAAGGATATATCCTTGTTTTTCAATGATTTGCACCTCACAACTAACTTCACTTAGTCAGGGGATCTCATACAGTTCGCTGCCAGGCATCCTGAAAGAATGGCTGCAAGGTCAATATCGCCAGGCCAGGGGACTATGGGGAAGCAACAGGGGAATAGACTTTCGAAGGAATACAATCCGCGTCCATCAAATGCAGGTCAGGTTAAGAACGATAATACGGGCTCCCATGTTATTACCGTCATGATCAATAGTGAAGTCCCGGAAGCCGTCAATAGTATTGTCAATCATATTGGTTGGGAAGAAGGCGTGAGCATTGAGATTCATCTGGGTTGATCTCTTGTGTACTCGATACATTGGTATCTGGGCACACGGGCATTGGACGACTCCTATCTCTTAGGTTTTACTTCACTTTTTGTTTTTATTTTATTTCCATAAGTATTTATGGTTTCTTCATTCAGGTTATTATCACTTTGCTACTGGGGTCGTCTCATCCTTCCTTTGTACTGAGTGATGAAGATTGGGTTTTATATGTGGAGGGTCTTTACTGCGCTCAAATTTAATTATTTTTTGAACTGTCTATAAAGTTATAGTAACTAAGGTCCCACCCCCCACGACGCACCCTGCAGCCCAGCTTCCCCAGACATGACGAACCCCCAGCGACAAAGAAAGAACAATGCCAAAAGCCACAAAACCCCCAGGATGAATCTTGTCCCCCCTAGACGCTCCCACCAGGCAGACCCCACAGAACTTTCCTGTGGGTTTAGGAAGCCGGGGGTTAGTCTGTTAAATGATGAGAAAAAAGATATCGGACCTAGAATGTGTGTAGAGACTTACATGGTTCATATGGGAGAGGAGCTCTTATTGTCAACTGAGCCAGATGTCACTGGCCCACTCGGTGAGCTCGTCAGTGGTAAATACAATGTCTTCTTCAAAGGTATTTTCACGGGGCTTGCGAGCAAAGACTTTTTGAAAATCCAGTCTCAGAGTTTCGGCAAGGACCAAGCTTTCAGAAGGGTCAACAACGGAGTGTTCAGAAGGGCTGGCAATAGAGGATTCAGAAGGGTCAACAGCTGGAGATTCAGAAGGGTCGACAGCTGGAGATTCGGGGGGATCCACAACAGAGGATTCAAAAGTGACCACCACAGAGGGCGCAGAACTATCAGCAACTGAGGATCCGGAGGTGTCGGAAACGGACGGTTCAGAGAAGAAGGGTCTGGAAGGTCCGACAATGGGGGGTCCATGGGAGTCGGCTGGTGCAATATCAAAGGACGCAGTGCAAGTGGCCAAGTCTGCTGAATGAGAGCATGTACTGGCACGATTCTCGACCGGCATCATTTCCCATTTCTCGAGGTGGATATTTCGACTTGCTGTGCTGACAGAGAAAATAAGGACAATATTAACATTCCCAAAGGAGTTGTTGAGCCACCACTTAGCATCAACTTGAAGCCGTTTAATCATTTCGGAGACACCATATTCCAGAACAAGGGTAGGCCAGTTGCCCTTTCCACCGCGGGTTGACTTTGGTCTAAATGCCGAATCAGCCTCCTTACCTCCCTTATACCCGTTGAATCTTGCTCCCCTCATGTCAGTAAGATCCTTGTCTAGTCTGGAGCTCATGGCTCGGGTCTTCTTCCAAATCATGCGTTGGAACTCGCTTATAGCTATCCCATAAATTTCCCCAGACATTGGTTTAACGATCAATGTTTGTGCAGTATTCAAGTACATAAAACGAAGTTGTTTGTAGTGGGTATCGCGAAGATAGTCGATCTTAGCAAGTTGTTCCTCGGTTACAGGTGAAAATACGATATACCGTCCCCTATGACCCGCCCTCACTTGATTCATTTGTGACCTAACCGCGCCTGCAAAAGAGCGGTTATCAATGAATTCCCTCCGTACTGCATCTTCTAAACCTTTGGTAAGATAATAATCCATGTCTAGTGGTCTACCCAGTGATGGGATTTGTGAAGCCGCTTGAGAGGTGGGGGGAGTTGGGTGGGCACCAGGGGCGACTGGGCAGGTGGGAGGCGATAGGTGGAGGCCAATTTGTGAGGTGGTGGGAGATGGGTGAGCAACAGCTTGCTGATCGGACATGGTGGAGATTTTTTTTGAAGAGTTGGTAGTAGATATAGAAGACGGCAGTGTCCCTTGGAGGCTAGGAGTATCTAAGGTGGTGGTGGTGGTGGTGGTGGTGGTGGTGGTGGTGATGGTAGTAGTGGTGGTGATGGTAGTGGTGGTGGTAATGGTGGTGGTGGTGGTGATGGTGATGGTGGTGGTGGTGGTGATGGTAGTGGTGGTGATGGTGGTGGTGGTTGGCATTAGATGTGATGAGAAGGAGCTGTTGCTTGTTGGCCAATTGCTTTAGTGTTGTACGAGGGGGTATGGGTAAGTCTGACGAACGTGGTGGTGCATGTGGCAGCACACTTACCCCGTGATTGATCCTGTATATAGAATATAACTAGTAACTGAGTAGTTTTCATTTCCGAGTCATTGATATGCTTCAACCTGAGTAGTATTGGGCAATTTTCACGATGGTGTGTTATGGTCAAATAACTACGTCAACCACTCTTCCTGGACAGAGCCATCGCCACATGCACCGCCACGTTCGCCAGACTTACCCCTGCCCCCTCGTACTATTCGAGAGTTGATATTTTTTTGATAATACAATGTCACGTGCCATTGTTAGAGTCATGGGGCACTGGTTCTGAATCACATGGGTTTCATCATTCAGACAACCCTCTCACTACCGTAAAAGCCCGTTAGTCTACATGTATCATGGCTGATCGGACTCAAAGTTTCCCTCCCCCCAATCAGTCAAAACACCTCGGCAAGCTTTGGCGTACCACATCTATGGGTTCACGAAACATCACTGAATTCTCAGGGTTGAGCAACTATAACCTGGAACCAACGTATTGGAAAACAACCAGCCTCCCATTCTGTGATCTCCTTCCCCGATCTCACGTTAACCGCATTTTGTGTTTGGACAATTGCGTGCATATCCTGGGCCCTCCGATCCCAGCCCCCATGTTTCATCGCGCCAGAGAACTCCCCTTCTGAGGGCATATCCAATGTCTACTCCTGTGGTCTTGATACCGTGGATCTTGCTCTTAATTCGATACCTACATGTTCGCCCGCGGAATGGTTGAGGACTCCTGGTCAACATGGAGTTCTGGATTAGAGGGCTTGGGGTGTCCAGCTGGGAGGGTCTTGTCGATTTTCGGTGAGTCGCCGGGGGGGCTTGGGGGTTTCGCCGAGAACTGCCATCTCGAACGAGCAGAGTGAGTGAAATGAAAGTATAATATTTCCTCTCGGGTGAGGGGCGGGGTTTCTCCCGATAGCAAGGCCCGATGAGGAAGGGTTTGAGGGTTTGAGACTCACCTGCTTGGCATGGCATGGCTGGCGAGCTATCATAGTCCTCTCCATTGAAAAAACTCTCAATTTCCCCCCTGAGGCGTCCGCCTTCATCTCCTCTTTTATCAAAACGTCATTTCATAAATTGTGGCCGATAAAAAGGTCTCCTCTGCGAGCACCACCGCCTCCACCAAAATCGCTGTCTTCAAGTGTGTTTTACCCTCCATCCCCAGGCTCAGCCCCACCCCCACCAGATCTTTGAGTTCCCGATCCCTTCCTCTTATGATATAACCCTAAAGTCAAACGATCCCCGTACATATTCTTAGATAGGAACTGGTGCAAGCACGGCAAAGGCGCAATCTCCCTACTAACTCCTCCTCTCTGTAAACCTCCCTCAAACCTTCGTAGGAAACTACACAACAGTGGCCTGCAGCAGCGCCTTGACCGAGAACTCTGCCCGGCCAAATAGTGAAGCTCAGGAAATCTTGGCAACCTAGCAAACACTCGACTTCCGCGAACTCAAAGTTGTGGGAGGGAGCCTAGAAGACGCTTCACGTCGTCTGCGAGAGCGACTTCCCTAGTGTAAGCGGACTTGCGTCCTGCGCTGCTGGCTTCGCAGTCTTAGTTCGGGCTATTGTGCATTTATGTGGTCTGCCTGATTCACCGACGTGGTTGCCCCAGGAGGTAGGACACGGGCCCGGGTCGACATGCAGGTCGTTGTTCGGTGGATAGGTTGAGTGGGGCATGGGACGGGCGGTGGATCGGAGCGATTCGTAGGCGGAGGAAGTTGCCCCGGCATCTCACTGGCCGGATATGAAAGCCGCTATTCTCGTCGTGTGCTGCAAAAAAGGTGATTTCTTCTACGGCGGTATACAAGATAGTGTGAATACCTCTGCACTCTATCCACCTACCGTTTTGGAATGTTGTCCTGAAGAGGGTGGAAGCGATGAAGGACGCTATTAAGAATAAGGAGTTTGAACTGCTTGCTGGCCACACCATGGCGGATTCCAAACAGCTCCATGTGGTTTATCTGGATACCGCCCCGGCGAAATTCTACCGGAATGACATCTCGAGCGCTGGCATGCGTGCTTTCAAAGGGTTGAATACTCTTGAAGGGAGGGTTGTTGGGGAAGGCACTTTCGGTGCAGGCCTAAATTCAGTCGTTTGTTATCAGGAGAGACGAAGAGAAGGTTCTGGGCTTCCTGGGGTGTTACCTGTGCAAGATGCCGCCATTGGGCCGGAAAGTGCTTAAATGTTGCGCTGGAGGGATACTAGAATAGGCACTTCGAGGCATGGAAGGATGGTTTTAGTAGGGTTATTTTGACTAGGGTTGGATAGGGACGCACAAGGACCAATAATACAATGATTAGAGCTGATGGGTTGTCGAGCAAGAGGTAGAAGAGTTTCTTGTCATAGTAGACATATTTTATTGCGGTAACGGGTTACGGGTGGAAGGTGTCGGTATATTTTGAGGGTATTTGTCGACTGAAGGCTAGATTTCAACCAACGAAATATGTACCGGAATTTATGTAGCTTAACATGGTCGCTCTTATGAATGAAGTACCGGTATCATAACAAAACCAAATAGGGTTTGTTGGACGCGCCAGCGGACTTGTGGCTGTCGGTGAAGGTATCATACTCACTAACTTCAGGGGCTGTATCTAGAGTGAAAGTGAGTAAAAAATCCGGAGGAAAATGGGGAACATAAAGAGGGTCGAGAATGGCACAAGGAGATCACCGTAATTTGGATATCAGCATCCGCCATTGTCTGAGAATCAGAGGAATGTTATTCGGGATGACAATAATATCAAGGCGGGCGAGGGACCCCCAGCCTCAAGAAAGACCATCTTTTCCCCAGGAGGCTCATATCACGGTTCGCAAGAACCATACAGGGCAGTCAGAGAGTGCCCTCACCGGGGAGTGAGGCGCCGCTGAGTAGTTGTGGCGTAAAGGGGTTTAGTATGATACAAGTACTGTACGGGTACTGTACCACACCGACTAGAGTTGGCCCGACCGGCCCCCGATTGGGACCAGATTCGGTGGCGCGTCGATAAAGGGAAACCCAACCCCCTTATCGAGGAGGCGTTAAAAGGCTATTTCAGTGGGACACAGGGGTATACGCGCATTACGGAGGGCGCCCACGCGGTGGAGAGGTTTCAGGACAACCTGAACAAGCTGATCCACTTGGTGAAAGGCATGGCTCCGATGAAAAGACCGACGAGGTGGTCAAAGGCGTGGTGGAAGCCAGAGATCACGGAGCTCAGAAGGGTATACACCGCGGCGGCCAGAAGGGTGGACAAAGATGGGGCCGGGGTGGAAGAATGGAAGTTGGCCAAGAAGGCGTACAGGAAGGCGATCCAGGTGGCGAAGCGCGAGTATTGGGACAAATTCCTGGCCACAGCAAAGAAGAATGATGTGTGGACAGCGCATCAATTTACCAAACAAAGAGTGCCGAACAGGGTCCCGGGGGGAGACGCTGGGAGTTCGGAGGTGGCAGAACAAGCGATTATGAGACACTTCTTCCCCCCCAATCCAGACCCGGTGGGCAGGTGCGAGGCACGGAGGCATTTGCTAGAGAGGGATGATAGGGTCTCTCCACTGGAGATTGGGGAGGCATTGAGGAAGGTTAGCAACAAATCCGCACCAGGGCCTGATCAGGTCCCGTATGGAGTGTGGAAAGGCATCCATGGGATAAACGAGAAGATCGTCCCAGCGTTGGTGGAAGATATGCTGGAGTGGGGCATACACCCGCCGATGCTCAAGGAGTCAATCGGGGTGATCTTACCGAAGCCAAACAAGAGCAACTATACGGAGTGCGCAAGTTTTAGGGTCATTGCGCTTATGCAAACCTTCTCTAAGATAGCCGAGAGGGTAGTAAATGCGAGGCTAATGAAGGTAGCTTACGAGAGCGGGATGTACTGCATCAATCAGACCGGCAGCTTGCCACAGAGGTCCACGGCGGATGCAGTGATGTCGCTACAACACTGGATTAGAGAAGCGCAGTTTGCGGGAAAGAAGGTCTCGACGGTCTTCATGGACCTGAAAGGCGGCTTCGACAACGTCGACCATAGAAAGCTAATGCAGCGTCTGGAACGGAATGAGAAGATCTCTGAGTACCTCACGGATTGGATTCGCGACTTCATCTTGACGCGAGAAATCACATTGGCATATCCGGGCAGTCCTAGGCGGAGTAACAGGGTTGACCTCGGCATACCACAAGGCTCACCATTATCGCCGCTACTGTTTGTAGTTTATGTGCGTCCACTGCACATAGATTTCGACACGGCGGACACCTTCACGTCATCCTACGTGGACGATTTCCAGATCACTGTGGCGTCCACCTCTTGGTATCGAAACGCGAGGATGCTGGAAGAAAGAGGGCAGTGGGTCATGGCGGTGGCCCAAGGCCTGGGCCTCTCTTTTAGTATTGCAAAGACTGAAATGATGCACTGGCGCACGCGGAGACAGCAGGGACCGCGGGCACAGGACGAGATCACGCTACAGGCGCACGGGGTTCAACCGGCTGGGACAGTGGTGAAGTGGCTGGGATACTGGCTGGCGGATAACGGGGAGACGTCTACACACTTTACGAAGAGGTTGTCGCTGGCCCAAGCGGCTTTCTGGAGGATCCGAAGACTATCGATGCCGGGCAAAGGACTCTCGCCGTATGGAGCAAGGAGGCTGGCGAAGGGGATATTGTTACCGACCATGTTGTATGGAGCGGAGGTACTTGAGCCGTCCGCAACGATGCTGAAGAAGATACAGACCTTTTGGAATAGGGTGTTGCGATGGGTCACTAATGCATTTTATGCTACCAATGTAACGGTGCTCTCGTCTGAGGCCTGCTTGGCGCCGATGAGGGTGTACGTAGATCAGGTCAGGATGATGTCGGTTGTCAGAGTGACGACGGCGATACCAGAGAACAACTTAGCCACGGCCATGTTACCAGCAGGTTTCCCGGTACAGAGGGAGTATAGGTACCCAGGGAACCGCAAGATGGCCTTCGATAACAACAAGGGCGGGATGCGACCAAAGACTTGGCGGTCGACATCGAACACAACGGCCCAGGTACGACTACCCTTGGATGAGGTTGCCGCGATAGCCACTACGGTGTTCGGGGAGGGCCCCATTCTGATGAAGCCTACGCGCCTAATGATGGTCAAACCGGAGGATGCCGAAGGACATTTCAAGGTTCGGGAGCAGGTTAGGAAGGAGATGCACAAGAGGTGGGTAGATTGGGATTATCCGCTATACTACGGCTATAGGCCACCATATCGGGAGTGTTGGTCATTTATGACATTCCCGAAATTCCAGGCTGGGCGGGTGCACCAGATGCGTGCAAATAAGAGCTATCTCAATGCGCAGACAGACTGGTCCACGCGGGACCGAGACCCGATGTGCAGGAGGTGTGAGGTGGGAGAAGAGACGTTTCAACATGTGGTCACTTGCCCGGCGTTAGCTGGGGCTCGCCTGCATGAAGACCCGAAGACCTTTGATATTTCGCCTGATTCTGAATTGTGGAAGGGCGGGAAGAAAGGGTTGCGCTTGATGGGGAGTTTTATTTCTTATGTGATAAAGAACAGGATTAACTTTCTGGCGGGTGGGGAGGATTTTCCTTATAACAGGTTGGCCGGTTTGGCTTCATGATTTATGAAATGTTTTCATTGATGCGTGGAATGAGGTGATTACTATTGGACATTGGTTTTTGTAGGGGGTGAAGTTTCATTTGTACAAGGGGTTTTTAGGCCATGCCTTAGGGTGCTTGCCATGGATTTTCCTGTAGGTAGCTACGAATAAACCGCGGATTTAACAAAAAAAAAAAAAACTGTACCACACCGAGGTTCGTTTACCGGTATCTGCTATGGGTTAGTATCTGGGTTACATAAGCGCTCCCAAATATGAAAATTTTGCCCACAATACCGGTAGGGTAACTGTATCTCTGCAACACCATATTTAGCCATGAAAACATCCCCTACTCGTGCCAAGGTTGCAGCTAAGACGCTGCAACCTCCCAAAATTTTAATTTTCGGGGGCACTCTACGGAAAGAGTGCCCATCAGCTCAACATGACCTGATGGAACGTAATGCCGTGGGATAGAGGGCCTTTTTGGAATGCTTCCCGGTAGTATTAGTTTGCCGAATATTATAATATTTAACTTGACAGCTCAACATGACTTGTGGCTCAACAGAACTGTTTGTGGCTCAATATTGTGGCTCAATATAATAGTATGGAACAAGATTGCTTTATCGCTTATTGCAATTTCATAGCTTAATCAAAATATTACTTGAAAACTTTATTTAATTTTAAAGGTTAATGTAACATTGTAGATCACTGTAACTTAATAATTATTTGTAACTTCATATTCTGGTATAGCCTTGGACCTCAGTGAAGGTTTACTATTAAACCTAGAGGTAACTTTAAAGTTATATTTCAAAAAGAGAGGGGAAATACAAGCATATAAAAATAAAGTCTTCAAGCTTATATAAAGCTAAGGGTATTAAGAGACAAGTACAACTGGGAAAAATAAATGTAATCTAGATAAAATTCTGTTGAGCTGTCAAGTCATGTTGAGCTGATGGGCACTCTTTAGAGTGCCCCCGAAAATTAAAATTTTTGGGGGTTGCAGCGTCTTAGCTACAACCTTGGCACAAGTACTCCTTTATTCTTTTTCCTATCCCTTACCCTGTTTTCGAATTATGGGCTGGAAGGGGGGGACCAAGACGGATAGGGAAACGACAAAAGAGTTGCAGCAATAAGATACCAATAAGCGTATAGATGTGCAGGCTAAGAAGAAACTATATTAGATGTCTGAATTAGGAAAGCTTTGGCCTTTATGATACAATCAGGGTAATCGTTGATGATACCGGAAACCTTCACCATACCAGAAACCTTCACCGTACCAGAAACCTTCACCATACCAGAAACCTTTGCTGTACAAGAAACCATTATTAGTACAATTTCACCACCCTTTACCTGGTCCTAAATATGGATCCATATGACAGCAGTAAGGAAGAAGCAGTCTGGATTTTGGGTCAGAGTGCAAATGGCCCAGAAAGCAGTACCAACACCGAACCCGCCGACCATGAGGAACATGAAGGTGAAAGTCAGCCCGCATTGGAGGAAGAAATGTCTATACCAAATCCTTCAATGAGAACTAGTACTGAATTCAGAAGTACATTATCTCTTCCGCCCGTTCCTCCATTTACCCCATATCAACACATTCATCCAGCGCATTCGAGAATGGTAGTTCTTCCTTCAAGCTTTCCCAATAGTCCGGAATTTTACCCTGATAGCCAACATACCAGCTATGCCGATATTCCCTCACCCAGAAGCTATTTTAGTCTTTTTTTTACAGAGGAGACTATGTCTTCGTTGGTTCAAAATACCAATTTATA